GATTCATACTGAGAGTTAGGTCTTGAATGTTTCTGGGAGATATAATGAAACCCCCAACACATAGGTTCAGGGGGTTTTTTTGTTTGTTTTTTGTTTTTTCTGAAAATCTCCAAATGTCAGCTCATTCTTTGAATACATTAGTTAAAATCTTGTCCTAATCATTCCAACATTTGCATCTTCTTTCTTTGTGTTTATGACCTGACTGTGACCTGACTAATGGAATGATTAGGACATTTATACACACTTTATATACACTAGTGTGCCTCTTATGCCTGGATATTTTTGATAGAGCACCAAATATTGTGTATATAAATTGTAGGTATAGAAGAACTACAAGATCCATGAGCTTATCTGTCACATTAGCAGAAAGAATGCAACCCAATTTTTAAAAAATTACTCTGAGAAAATGAGAAGCTCAAAATTGCCAATGGCAATCTGAGAACAAACAGCCAGATCTGTGAGCCAAAACCCAGAAAATTCTGTAGGTGCTGATTTGAATTACACTACAGTAGGGGTGGGAGACCGTAACAAATAAGTCAATGAAATACAAATATTACATGAATTAGGGCAAAGTACAATACAAAAGAAAAAGCAGCAAACAGATGAGAAAGATGAGTTTTGGTGGTACAGTTGTAGAGTGACCCTGGAGGCCTGAAAGGACCTGTGAGAAGGGAATTGGTGATGCAAAGATACTGGGGAACTGGGACAAGTTCCTGAAGAAGGAGGGGAGTGCAATACTCTTAAGACTAAGGCTGCAGTCTGCAGTGTGTTTAGATAGCATCCAGGAGGCAGGATGAGTATGGAAGAGCACAGGGGTGAAGTTTAAGCATTGATGGTCTAACACAGGGTCTGGAGTCAGACTATAGGGTCAATAGGTCATGTTAAGAGAATTATTCTGTAATTTAAGTAGGGCATGTTTGGTGTATTTTGAGCAGAGTTATCTGACCTTGCCTTAGGAATATTTCTCTAATGGTGGGATTGAGGATTGATTAATAAGGCCTTCTACATAGCCAAGCATAGGACCTAACCAGTAGTCAACTCAGATATTTTCTGTCACGTGCTCTTGTGTTAGCTGTTAGTCCTTATTTCTTACCCTGGGCTTTATAGTATTTGACACAAAAAGTGAGGGTACGATGCTGGTACCTCTGGAAACATATTACAGTGTTTTCAGCCATCTGTCATAGAATAAACTAATTTTTTAAGTTAGGCCCTTATTTTAAAAGCACTCTCTGGGACTCAGCAATACAAACTAATAAACTATTGATTCTTGTAAGAACCTGGCTGGTCTCCAGAGAATTAGGGGGGGACAGATTATATAAATTTATATATATATATATATATATATATATATATATATATATATATGAATTATAGAATATTATATCAAACTTTTACCCTTGATTATTTCTGTATGCTGGGTTAGAAATTGGTTTAACTTCTAAAGTGAGATGTCTGTACAAGTTTTCTATAATAAGCATGAAAGATGTTTGCAATCAGAAGAAAAAAAAAAAAAAGATTGTTTAAATGAAAAAGGAAGGGGTGAAGGGTATATAATTCCCAAACAGATACCAGAAAGGCAGTGTAGCCCAGTCCTTCAGAAATATGGCTCAGAAACAAGACATCCTATGAGAACCTCTGAGAGCATGTTCTCCTTTTACGCACAGAGGGGATAATGCAAGACTCAATCTCATGTTGCTGGGAAATCTGAGTTAATATGTGAAAGATTTATAACAATGCAGCACATGCTAAGTATTCGGTAAGTGCAAATTACCCTTTGCTTTCTCTGGTTCTCTCGGGCTGTCCCTCATCTAGAGAAGATGACAAGAGGAGGGAATTGTGACTAAAGCCATCCCCACCCATGTCCTCCTACAAGAAATAGGCCCAGGGAAGGGATCTTTGTAGCATAATAATTGCACACGGGAAGTATGGACAGACTTTTTACATACTAAGTAGGCAACCTTTCTCACACCCTCCTCCAGGGAGGGCAAGAGGAAAGCTTGTTTCCCTTGAGAATCAGCAGCCACCCTCAAGAGCTAACACCAATCTATTTGCATTGCCCCTCAGTCACCAGACCCTGACTTCTCTGACCCAGGATTAACCCACGCTCCCAGACGCCCTTCATGAGCCTCTTGCCCAGGCCTTGGGCAGGTGGAATCAGCCTAAACCATTAGGCGCTGGCCTGCTATTGGACAAAGGCTCACTGACACTGAGCGATGAGCCCCCAGCCCCAACACGGTTGTGGGGCCCTTACCCAGAATGGTTGCTTATAGGACTTGAGGCAACTGTGGAATTTGTTCAGGCAAAACTTGAGTGAAGCTGCGCTTGGCAGGCTGCAAGCAGAGCAGTACCATCTATTCTGTTGTATCCTTCCATCCCCTCAAAAGAAATGAACATATGATGATGAATATGGAATGCTCTCTCTCCGTGCTCTGAGTGCTCCGGGCAGGAATCATGGCTGTATCTTGAGTGAAAGTGACTTAGGTTCCCAGGAGACGATGGGGTTTCCTTGGTACTGAGAGGGTATCAAACAGCAGAGCTTGTCACAACGTGTGGCAGTGGGGACCCAAGCTTCTCCTGAAGTTGTCAGGCACTTAGAAAGGGGATTACGCCGAGATCGCTTCCTTGCTGCTACTCCAGCCCCACCAACGGCCGCAGACTTTGTTTTCTTAGGCAGAGTTCATTTTTACTTTCTCACATGCGATCTACTCACAACAGAATCAATCCTTCGTGTCCAAGAAAGAAAGGGACAGCACGCCCTTCCTGGGGACAGCTCTGTGGTGTCTCGTTCGTCTGCGCCCTCCTCTGGGAGTCCGCATCTAGATGCTGCGCTCCTTTTGCACCCGCCTTCCCCTCCCCCTCAGCTTCCAGTTCCTCTACTGAGTTCCACAGCCCAGAAGGGGGCAGTGGTTCTCTCTGCAAAGGCCACCTGGGATCCTGTTTCACACTTACAGTCACCTGGACCTTCCTGCAGTTCTCTAAAAGCATGAAGGTCTGTGTCCTCTCAGGTTGTTTGCAAGCGTTTTTCCCCCTGTGAGGAAAGATGTTTGCATGGTTGGCTCTTCTCACCGTTTAGCTGAGGAGCCATCTCAGATCTCACCTCTTGGCTTGACCACATCACCATCTGCTGCGCATGCACTCAGCCACCCTTCTTTTCTGGGTATGCATCCAATTGGGGTCAGAACACAGGGGTCTTAGGAAATCTGTCTGGCAGGTAAATGAACCTGGCATAGCCACCACCCTCAAGTCTCCCTCTCACACTGTATCACTCACCTTGGAGAGTGACTGTACTTTAAGCCAGGTATCCCGCATCCTGCCCACATTCTTGGAATTCCTGCTGCTGCTCTGGAGTAACCTTAGAAATCTCTTCCTACCTGTCCTACTATAAGAGCCCTAAGAACCTCATTTTTATACCTCAGGGCCTGGGGATGTGCTGCAGATCAGGAGGCAGGGTCCTCAGCCTCTAAACTCCCTTGCACTGGCTTCCGGACTCCAGCCCACAAGTTAGGGGATGTGGCAACACTCTGACAAATGGAGTAGGGTTTGGAGCAGCACACCATTGGAGAACTGGCTTTAAGCAACACCAAAAGGGGCTGCCCTATCAACCCAGACTCAAACTGTAAGCTACTGCTTGGCAGTAGCTCTGCTGCCCCAACCTGTCCCTGCCCCAGGGTCTCAGCTGTGGGCAGGGGCTGGGCGGAGTGCACCTTACACCCTTGGCTATGGAGGCTGGCAAGAGAGGTGAGGCAACGGGATGGACAGGCTGCTGTGGTGGAAGAAGCACCCTTCCCCACCTCCACCCCATGTAAGCAGGGACCTTTCAGGTGACGTGTTTCAGGAGTGGACTTTGGACATACTGTTAGATAGGACAAGGATCTAAAGGTCTAGGTGGTTCTTACTAAATGCCATTCTTGCTAAACACTAAAATGCTGAGGTGGCTGTAAACAGGATGAGCTTGACGGGAACTCAGTTGGTTAAGTGTAGTCACCTGCAAAGAAATCAATGCGTGTGTAATTGAATAGTATGTATAAGCAATGGCTAAGCCTCCCTTTACAGACAAAGTTTCAGATATGAATCCCTGGTCACCTTTACTTGCTGAAAGTAAATAAAAGCACAAGTCATCCATTTTTAAAAAAAATCTTCACCCATTGTGTGTGTGTGTGTGTGTTTGTTTGTTTGTTTATTTTTAGAGAGAGAGGGAAACACAGAGAAAGAAACATCAGTCGGTTACCTCCCGTTTGTGCCCCAACTGGTGATCAAACTCGTAACCCAGGCATGTCCCCTGACCCAGGGATGGAACACATAACCTTTTGGGGGTGGGGTGATGCTCCAACCAACTTAACCACCCAGCCAGGACTCACCTGTCATTCTTGAATAGAGCACCCCAAGTGTTGACCCTCCCTTGAGTTTAGTAACAATGAGGAACCTAGATTTGCAGGGTTGTTTTTTGTTTTAAATGGAGCTCTCTTGAGGTGTAGCTCAAAGTGGGGTCTTGGAATATTACCTAGGGTGAGGGGAGGGTTCATGGGTTGGTCTGAGCATTATATAGGGTTTTACTAGGGTGGTTCAATGAAGGAAATGTTGCATTTCCTGTGCTGTGTGCACAAGAGAGAGCATTCACTGAGTGTTGTGGGGTCTTAGTGGAGGGAGAGCCACTGAGGATCATTCTAGGTTATAGGATGTCATAGGTTCCTGGACCATTGGGACTTCTAGGGTTTCTGGGCAAGGTGTAGAAATTGTAAGGTCCTTTTGTATAATATTGAAGAGTCTTGAATGGTGCATGGATGAGGCAACGGGGTGGGAGATCAATTATCAGGAGGTTCTCAAAGTGGAGGACATGCTGGGACCAGGTTTTAGGACAGATGTGGCTGGTCGCAGCAAGCATTAGCAATCTATGCCCCACTCCCAGCACCTTAGCAGCTGAGGGCCTGGGTTTTCCTGCAAGATGTCAGAGTTCCTGTCCAGCCTGCCCAATCCCACAAAAGGTGACAAGACCATGGAAGGAGTGAGATCAGTTTAATTTAGAAATAAGCTTTGGGCAGCTTCCTGATCCGAAGGGAGACTAAGGGTCAACCCATGGAAAGAAAGGCCTCTAAGTAGGGAGGGAACAGCATGGGAGCTGGCACTGGGAGTGCCACAAAGCTGGTCCTGTGTTCAGCAGGTACTGGCAGAGCCTGTGGAAAAAAATGGGAATCATGTTCTCACAAAGATGGTCACTACACAGACACCCACCTCAGCCTTGTGCAAACCCAAGCCTAGGCTGGCTCAGGACAGTCCCACCTTACACACAGCATATCATTTTTGAACTCTCAAATTATATGGCCAACATGACTGATTGCCTGGAGGCCTTTCAAAGAAGCTTGTCTCACCTGAAGTGATGAGTGAAACAGCTTACTCAGGTAAGGGGCTAAGAAAGGAACACATCAGATTAGCATCTTTGGACCTTATGACCTTCTCCACCAAGACTCCTGGTGCCTCCTTCCCAGAGGATCCCTAGCTGCCCTCTTGCTATTCTTCTAGTCATTTAAGACAATACTAGGGTCCAGAGGTTTTCCTAATTTGGGGCCCCCTCAGGGTTGCTTATCTGTGAATAATCCTATTGCAAGCCCAGGGAGCAGCCAAGAAACTGTTCTTTTTCTTTAAGTTGTAGGACTTTACCCCAAAATAGTAGGCTCAGTTTAAAATGCACACATAGGGGCCCTATCTCACCTCTGCTTCTGATTGTTCTTGCATTTACACTTGCCACCTGTGAGAGGAAGAGACATCAATGCAAAGAGCCTGGGGACCCTGGGCTGCTTCTCACATGTCCTCCCTCACTCCGCATCCCACCAGCTCCACAGCTCACTTAGGATGAACAGGAGTCCAACGATGCACAAGAGTCCTGCGCAGATTGTCCCACCCAGCTGCAGGCCTTCCCAGTCTAGGAGAGTAGAGAGCAAACAGGCGCCAGTTTGGCTCACCCCAACACTCATTCAAAAGATATTTATGAGCACCTGCTTGTGCAGTTGTGCTCACATTTCAGGCAAAGAGGAAAACAGATCAAATAGATACATAGTACAATATCTGGTAGGAGTAAGTGCTAGAAAGAAGAAAATAAGCAGAAGAGCACAGAAAAAGAAGGAGTTTTAAAGGATGATAAAGGAAGGCTTTTCTGAAATGTGGCATTTGACTGAGTGGGAGGCAAGCTCAAGGACAGTGCAGGCCTGCTTAGAGGGCTATAGCGGGCAGCAAGAAACTGGGTGTTGGGGAAAGCAAACAAGAGTGAGGGGCAGAAGAATGCTTGTGTGAGATACCTGGGAATCCAGTAGTCCATTGCCTCCACCCCTTGCCCCAGAAGTCTTCCTAAATATGATTGTTACCTTCCTTCCTTTCTAGAAGGCAGTTCTTTCAAAGACTAGGTTGCATGTTAGCCTTTTGTACTTTTTGTGTTGGACATACTGGCTTTTTAATTTCCAGTCCCAGCCCCATCCTGCTCCTCCGTCCTCACCCCTTTAAGTCTCACTATGCCTACACTGGGCTCTACATTACCCCTCACCAACTTTTACCAAAAAGGTCAAGGACAAGCAAGGGAAGGGGGAATGAGGGATATAGGGTCTTACCATAGTAGAAGGGACTGTATTTATCTGCAGGAAATAAAAATAAATAAATAAGGACCAGAACTAAGAGGGTAGAGTCTTAGAGGGAAAAATGTGGACAGCAGAAGCAGTTTGTTTAGGGCCTCACTCACCAACCAGATCATTGGCTTCAAAGGCAGGCATGCCTGGATGGAAGAAGCAGAGGGATTAGGTGATAATTCAGGACTCTAGTGTCAACATGAATCAGCAGATAGACCTCAGCTTGAAAGGCAAGAACAACGAACCTCATTGGAAGGCACCATAGGGCCAGTTCCCTTCTCATACCTTCCCTAGCCCCAAACAATGGTACTGAGATTCTGTCTTCTATCACTTGGCCTTTGGTCCCTCACAGCCCTTGTTGCCATTTCACAGGCTTCCTGCTGTTCTTAAAGATTTTATTTATTTTTAGAAAGAGGGGAAGGGAGGGAGAAAGAGGGAGAGAAACATTGATATGCGAGAGAATCATTTATCAGTTGCCTCTCCCCTTCCCCTACCTGGGGATCTGGCATGCAACCATGCCCTGACAGAGAATACAACTCTCAACCTTTTGATTTGTGGGACAATGCCCAATCCACTGACCCACACCAATCAGGACTCTGCTATTCTTTCTTGCACTCAAAATGGGATACTGTGTTTGTATCTCTTTACCTTTCCTGACAAGCTTCCTACACAGAAGCTGGCTTAAGAAATGGGAAATGCTTTTCTTTTCATGCCAAATGACAGTTACCTATACTATCATTTCTCTTTAAATCAACAGCGTCAATGAAAACACATTTATTTGACATCAGGCTTCCTTTGAGAGATGCCGCCCTGATCTTCACTGCCTTAGTGGGCATGTGAGTGGCAGCAGGGTCACCTCTAGGAGGACTCACCTGCCAGTGCAAAGAGAAGGCCCCAGGTCACTCTCTCCATGTCACGGCTGCAGAGCAGGGCTGTAGGAGTAAGGGTTAGGTTGGGGTCAGATGGCCCCCACCTATCTGGTGGGAGAGCAAGGGCACCAATTCCAAGGATGTTGTTTATTAGGCAGCCTTGGGAAAGTCACTAACTTGTTTGTCCTCATTTGGAGATGAAAATAGTAGTGTTTTGTGAGTTGACTAATACTAGTTAAGTGCTTAGAACAGTTCCCTAGTATATATAGTAAGTGCATATAAGGCTTTGTAAAATCTAAAGTTAGATGCTTGACTCAAGGTCAGGTGAACAGGGTTGGTGATCTAACTCAGGCTTTACATTTTTTTTTTAATTTAGAAAATCTTTTTCAATTACAGTTTATATTCAGTATTATTTCGTGTTAGTTTCATATATACTTACTCAGGCTTTGATGCCTGCCTTCCTGATCCCGCACAAAGAGCAAGGTATTATTTCTCAAGTTCTGGGCCTGGGGCACTATCAGGCTGCATTCCAACAGAGACTCCTTAAAGGGAGCACCCAAGCCTGAGCTGAGTAGAGGAGCCAGCAGCTTAGCAGGGAAGTGGGAGGATTGCTAGAGGCAGACAGAGCCTCCCACCCTAGCCTCGGCATTGAGCCTGCTCCAGGCAGCCCCCAATTCCACTCTCAGAGTACTCACTGCTATTGGGAGGAAACTGCTTAGCTACTGGGACATTGCTCCTTCCTACTTTCTCCTTAAGGTACAAACTAATCCCTGGGGTGGCTGTAGCTGGAGATAAGACCCCTCCCAACTTTCTGCACGATCGTGTTGTTAGCTGCAAAAAAGCATAGGGATTGTCAGTGTTCCATATTGAAGCCATTATTATTTGCTGGGACCAGCTGGAGGGAAGTCTAATCCACTCAGCCAATTAACAGCTGTGTGAACCATCAGGTTAAACTCTCTGTGCTTGTGTGTCCCATAAAATAAAGATAATTATAATAGCAACCTCATAAGGTTATGACTGGATTAAATAAGTTAATATGTCCAGGCTAAGAACAGTGCCTAGCACACAGTTTACTTACACTTATATTAAATACTTATATTAAAATGTATTACAATAATAAATATATAAATACCTAGGTCTTAATGCCGTCAAAGGGAGGGCCTTTTAACATGCTGCTTCTGAAGGCAGAGATTTGTCCTTGAGCAGAAACTAGTCTGCCTCTCTACTTTCATGACCATGGAATTCCTGGATTATGACGGTTGCAACTTCTTTAGCCAAAGAATATGTAAAAAGGCTTGCTTTTTAGCCAAAAGGCTAGCTCGTTAGCCAAAGGCTAGCTTCTGTTTCCTCCCACTCCCCCCCAACCCCTACCTCCCACCCCCATCCCTCACCATTCATATGACAGTGGTCACAGAATAGACGCCCTCCAATCCTCAAACTCCCAAACACACACCAAGAATACCCAGGCATGACCACCTCTTCTTTCAGGCTGGTACCCTGGGCCACCCCTCCACCCCTACCCCTCTACTCCTACTCTTCCACCCACCAGTCCAAAGTCTTAGCAGTCACCTGCTCACCTGAGAGCCAGTTCTGAACTCACCTGAGAGCAGGGTGCACTGAGCAGGTCTGAGGAAGCTGCTTGGGCTGTATTCAGCTCACTATGTTTCAGCTCTTTAAACCCAGCAGTCTTGCCCGGGGCAACAATACCTTCAGACCAGATGGAACTGGTCAGACTCCTGTAAGACTGCCATAGCTCCTTCTCATTTGCTCTTAAGGAGACGGCTAGCCCTGCCACACCCAGTGCAGTGCAGGACTCCTAGGGGCCCCAGGGCCAGCTCAGAGATTGAGATGGTTGTAGGGGAGAGGGATGAGCAGATTCTCTGATGCTTCTCTTGTGAAGATGACTCAGCTTCTTCTGCTCACCTTGATACAGAGTGCAGCCAGGGGGTCCCCAAAAAAAGATTTGGAATGGTGTCCAGAATTCAAAGTGTATAGAAATATTAGAGATACATATTAAGATGTCCTCACCGCCCGCCCCCCCCCCCCCCCCCTCGGGGAAGGGATGAATGGAGCCAGGCCATTGAGAGCTATTTTGCATAGCAACAGTTTTGGAGCTAACCTCTGGAGGAATGGTTATTTAACATATCTATAACCTTTAACTGGTTTCATAGATATGTTAAATAGCAGTGGCCAAGTTTGAGGCCAGAGAGAAGGAACTAGCAGAGACTCAGAATGTAACGAAGGGCTGCTCTCCTGAGTGAGTGGACTGGGACTCAGGAGAATGTAACTAAAGTCTGGACTCCTGAGTGAGAAGGGCTTAGGGACTGAGGATGGAACTTGGGGAACTCAAGATGGAAACTAGGGTCTGCACTCCTGAGAGGGAAGGGAGAAGGTTGTGGCAGGGACTCAAGATGGAACTAGGAGTTGTGCTCCTGAGTGAGAAGGGACTCGAGATGGTAATGAGGGGCTGCTCTCCAGAGTGAGAAGGGCTTGGACTCGGAATGAAACTAGGGTCTGGGCTCCGGAGTGAGAAGGTCTGTGTGGGAGCTTGGAAAAGACTGGGACTCAGGAGGATGTAACTAGGGGCTGCGCTCCTGAGTGAGAAGTGCCTGTGTGAGAGCTTGGAAAAGACTGGCTCCGAGACATGAAGGGCCCCCGCTTGGCCAGATGAAGGGAGAGCCACGCGGTTTCAGCAGAGTGAGGACCCCCTCTTGGTGAGGTGAAAGAGGGAGCCACATGGTTTTGGCAGGGTGTGGACACCCTCTTTCCCAGGTGAAAGGGAAAAACCACGCAGCTTTGCCAGAATGGAGATCCCTGCAGCCAGGTGAAGAAGAAAGCCACATGCTTTTGGTGGAGTGCGGACTCCTGCAGCTTTGGTAGAAGAGGCCCACGCGGCTTTGGGATGCCCCCTTTGGCCACGGGGCCTGAAAAAAAAAAAGCAAGAGAGACTTTGACTGGAACTGGGTACAAAGGACTCTTGCCAGTGGACCATGAGAGGGTACCACAGTACTTTGGATTAACTCGAGATCCTGCACAGTGACACAGCTGACGGCACCAGCGGCCTGAAAAAGGGACGTGAGCTCTTTTCCTGATTTACGGTACCCGGAGTTGGGAAAGAGGGAGAAGGGAGCGCTGTGTGGGTGTAGGTGTATACCCTAAAGGACTTTGATATTTTAGTGGAGGCATTAGGCCTGAATAGCATTAAATAAACATTTTGTTTCCTTTTCACAAATCTCTGGCATTAAGAGATGTCTTTCCAATTGGCGGCGGACAGAAGGGCCCAGTAGATTTTAGTATTTTGTTTTCGGGAGGGGCCCCTGTTGTATAGCAGTTTTGGACATCCCTAAGTGGGCCAAATATTGTATTGCCCCTCCCTCGGACGACCTCTTGTTCGGTAACAACCTAGGTCCTAAAAGAGGGACCCTGAGGTATGCTGTAGGGGACAGGGTGTTTCTGAGTTCTTGTGGCAGCAGAGGGGGTTCCAGGACTTCTGTGTTGGGGTACCTGGGGACAGTTGAGTTGACATAATGTTAGGGACTGGCCTTGAAGCTCCATTTATTCAGTGGTTTTGTTGCTTTTTCTTGGACTGGGTATTCATTGATAGGGAGGGCTGGGGCTGATGGTCATCCCTCAGTATTATCTACCCTCTGACTATGCCCTGATGCCCACTTAACCCAGGGAGACTGACAGCTAGAATTCAGAAAGCTCCCAGATCCAGCCCTGGTTTCTCCCCTGCCTGCTAAGGGATGGGCAGAGAAGGATTACCAACTACAGGATAAGAAGTAGGCCACCTTCCTCTGAGGACCCCCATGCCTGTCTCATGCCCTGCTGGCCAACTCTCCTCTTATCTGTCATTCTATCACATACTTTTAGTCTGTGCCCCTCTTTATTCTGTAGTCCCCCTTTCCCAGTTTCTCTCTGTTCACTGCTTTTTCTACTGCATAATGACCAAATTAAGGCAGGGAAGTTGCCTTCCTTATTCCCAATGCCCAGCTGTGGACACCAATATATAGATAGACCTTGATTAGATTGTGACTGGAGTAGGTAATCAAGAGTATGTGATTGCCAACTGAACCTAGAACTGGACCCAATTAAATGCTCCTCATCTCATCCCCTGTTCTCTAAATGTATATTCTGCCTACTGGCACACAGTGGGAACTGTTCCAAGGACATAGCCTTGTATGTTTTGAACTGATCTCAGCCTATCAATAACCAATATTGTGGCTGGACCAGTCCTTGTGGTTTTTATTATGATTGCTAGATGCCCTTCAGCAACAACAATCAAGAAACTTTGAAAAAAATATAGGGTCCTGACTGGTGTGGCTCAGAGTGTTAAGGCTGCTAGTTGATTCCCAGTCAGGGCACATACCTGGGTTGTGGGCCAGGTCCCCAGGTTAAGGCCATGAGAGGAGACAAACAATGCATGTTTCTCTTGCATATCAATGTTTCTCGCCCTTTCTTTCTCTCTCCCTTCCCCTTGCTCTAGAAATAAATAAATAAAATATATATTTTTTAAAGATTTATTTATTTATCTTCAGAGGGGAAGGGAAGGAGAGAGAGAGAGAAACATCAATGTATGGTTGCCTTTCATGCATCCCCCGCTGGCCTGCAGGGAACTGGCCTGCAACCCCAGTATGTGCCCTGACTGGGAATCGAACCGCGACTGTCTGATTCGCAGGCCCGCGCTCAATCCACTGAGCTACACCAGCCAGGGCTTTAAATAAAATATTTTAAAAAAGAGAAAAAAAATAAAGATTTATTACTCACAGGACCTGGAAATTACACAGCACACCTGGGGCCACTCGATAGCGTCACAGGGAGAGAGGGAGAAAAAGAGAGAGAGAGAATGGGCCTGGGGCACTGCATTTATTGGGATTGTAGGTGGAAGCCTAGGGTTTCATGGGCTTGTAACAGGGTGCAGCCAGGGGGTCCCCAAATAGGGATTTGTAAGAGGGTCCAGAACTTAGGTATCCAGGATATATATAGGATGTCCTTAACCCCACAAGTCTGAACTGGGGGATGGGACACTTACAGCAGGGCCACTGAGAGTTGTTTTGCATAGCAACAGTTTTGCAACTAACCTCAGGCATGGTCATTTAACATATCTATAAGTTTTAACTGGCTTCATGGATATGTTGAATAGAATAGTTGTGGCCAAGCTTTGAGCCAGGGAGATGGAAGTGACTTGACACAGGATGTAACTGGGAGGCAGCTCCCCCTGGTTTCAGTGCCTGCATGAGAGCTTGGAGTAGGAGGGGACCCTGCATCTTTGGCAAAAAAGGAGGGACCTCAAGGCTTTTGGCAAGACAGGGAGAACTGTGTGGATTTGGGGATCCCTTTGCCACACAGCTTAGGAAGCTGGAAAGCAAGATGTAGCAGCAATGCAGAGTTTTTCTTAGTGTTTCTGAAGAATGCAGGAGAGATGCTATGGGAAGAAAAGGGGTAAAAGGATTCTTGCTGGTGGGCCATAAGAAGGTGGTGCCATGTGGGTTTGGATTAAGAACTGGAGATCACAATGGCAACACAGCTGATGATTGCTGGGAACCAAGGAAGGCCTGCTAGCCAACCATGGATTACTAGGAAGAACCAGAGGCTACCAGAGCCATGGACTTCTATTTCTTTTCATGAGATATAGTACCCGTGACTGTGCAAAGAGGGAAAGGAAAGACCTTGTGCATCTGTGGGTGTTTTAAGGGACTTTGGGCCCTAGCTGGTGTAGCTCAGTGGATTGAGCACGGGCCTGTGAAGTAAAGGGTCGCCAGTTCAATTCCCAGTCAGGGCACATGCCTGGGTTGCAGCCCAGGTCTGCAGTAGGGGACACATGAGAGGCAACCACACATTGATGTTTCTCTCCCTCTCTTTCTCCTTCCCTTCCCCTGTCTCTAACAATAAATAAATAAATATATATATATATATATATATATATATATATATTTTAAAAGGGACTTTAGGATCTCAATGAAGACATTAAGTCATTACTCTTAAATCTGTATAGCTTTTGAATAAGTAATTCCTTTCCTTTTCACCAATCTCTGGCATTGAGAGATGTAATTCCTTAGCAGCTGGCAAGGCAAACCTAGTACAGGGGGACCCTGGGAGAAGTGGGGGTCCGTTTGGTAATAGTATATCATCCCCTGCTCCAACGAGTCTGTCCTGTAACAGGCTTACACCTTATTAGTGAATTTAAAACATTGAAGTGGGGATTTAAAGTCTGGGAAGAGACAGAATAACAAGTAGCCCCAATGGCCAGTTATTGAAATCAACCAAGATTTCTAAAGCACAGTAACCTCAGTTTGGGGAGGTGGCCTGTCTCTTTATCTAATCTTTAACTCTTTATCTACGTGACTGGCAATGTGTTTACTTGAGATAACCCTCTTTGAAATGGATACCTCATACCTGGTCAATCAAAGCTTAAGTCAGATACTTGCATTCAAAAAATAAATAAAATAACTGTCATGGCTAACGCTAAAACTTGAGTGAGTAAGGTATTGTTGAGAACATCTGAACTGTGTACAACTGAATCCAGTTAAGGCCACTATATAAATTTTTAAGATTCTGGTGGGCAGATGTGGGCATTTACTTTTCTTGTGGTTGCCCAAGACAAGCCTCGTCAGTAAGTTCCCTAGTTTATTAAACCTGCCACCTAACAATCTGGAATGGTCTGCCTCTTTCTTCAGTCTCTTCCTGCCCTCCATGTAGGGG